CCAGTGAGCCAGGTAGCCGAGCAATCATCACGCCAACTTCCGCATGAGTAATTTTCAGCAGATAATGGTCCCCATGCCGGCCATTAAGTAAGCAGCGCACCAGCAGGCAACCATCCTCGTTGAAGTCAGGGGCTATTAATTGTCAGAGGTATACAGTAGCCTAGCGATTGCATCCTATAGATACTCCAGCCCCCTGGGCACAAATTGCCCTTATCTGGTACTGTCTCTGAAGATGGATACGAACTGGAAACCAAAGTCATACGAATATTTTTTGGCACAACGCTCACGTCTACTTCGTCTAAATTAAGTAGAAGTCGGAAGTACTCAAACAGCGCAGCAAGGCGCACCATCTAGTTTCATGTAATCGCTAACGGAGGGTAACCACGTGTTCTGATAGAAACATACATATCAGACGGACATCCGACCCCTAGGCTCCAGGGCTGAGGCAAGGACAGTCACGATCCTCTAGACTATTGGGTTGCTAGATGCAAAATATTTTAATGAACAGACACTCACACGAAAGTATATGGGAGATGTAATTATCCAAAAAAGCTACATAATATCGATTGGTAGCCAGTACAGACAAAAAACGTCACGGGGACCGTCCGCCACCTTCTCGCACAATTTGGAGTCGCCAGATAATGAACCCAAAAGACCCACTACCACGAAAAGAAACACCTGGAGTTGTCTATAAAATCTGGTGCAGTTGCGGACAAAGCAACTACATCGGAGCAACTGGAAGACTTCTGAAGACGCGAACCGCCGAAAACGTGGCAGCAGTGCAGAAAAATGAAACCAATCCTCAAGTTGCGGCTCATTCAAAAAGACTCGGCCACAAATGCAAATTTGACGAGGTCTAAATTCTCGCGAGAGGTGATAATCGTGCGAGTCGCGAGTAGCTTGAGTCATGGTTCCCAGGGAACCCAGTCTATAAATAGGTGCAATGACCTGTCCAGCTCATATACGGATCTAAGGCTCAGTTTGGCCAAAGCAATTCGCCACTCCGGGCGAACACGTCGTCTAACGCTAGTGCCAGATGGCCGAGCAGTCATCACGCTCAAATCCAGCACAAATGATAAAAGTGTAGCATGTCACGACGCACACGCTGGCCATCAAGCAAGTAGCGCACAAGCGGACAACTTTTCTCAATAGGGGAAGCCGTTGACCGTCATGGGTATGCTGTAACATAGCAACTGTATCTTATAAATACTGCATCCCCTGTGTATGAGCTACAAGTTTCTGCTATTGTCTCTGATGATGGATCCTCGACGGATTTCGAGACCTCAGACGAATAGAGTTCTTGTCTCAGCGATCACATTGGCTTCTTTTCTATCGGCCGATAGCCCGACTAAGAACTGTCGTAAATTTGTGCTGGCATGAAGCTGGCCGAGACCAAATACGAACTCGCGCCGTCAAAAAGCCTGGCAAACTAAATTCAGTAGTAGCCGAAATCACCCCGACAGCGCAGTAAGACGCACCATCAACGGGCTAACTGCCAAAGCAGGAAAGGACAAAGAGAGAAATGAAGAGGACTTGGTAACGAAAATAAACCTTATTTTGTCAGCATCACCTCCACATGGTGGATACACACTCTGAATGACGTGTTTGCGTGTGTGTATGCATGTTAGAGAGAAAAGAGAGATCACTTCTTTCGTCGACTTCCAGAGATGCAGACTAAGTGAGAGAGAGAGAACGGCATCTGTTCCCTCTTCTGGAAGATGAAAGTTAAATAAATAGCGCGCCACCACGCTGGCACCCACCAACACGGGGCCGCGCGACAGCGGGGAGGCTAGCGAAGGTGTTAGCAAGCGGCCAGACGAGATATAATGCACTGGAAGCAGGGGGGAGGGGAAGGGCCATAAGAAGGCCAAGAGCACCATTAACAGAAATTAAGAAGAGCAGCGGGATGGGGGGAGCGGGGGTGGAGAGTCGCGGTGGGGGTTGTACGTCAACCAACTGACTACAAATACCAAAACCAGAGAGGAATGTGGATAAGACATGGGAGGGGAGCGGCGGGGGAAGGAGCGAATAGTAAGAACGACATCATTTTGAAGAGGAGGGCGGGGGGACGAGGATTGGCATCAGCCTTGACACCCGGATGACTAGAGGAGGCAGCTTGGAGATAATGCGGCATGGGGGAAAGACAGCACAGTCACTGAGACCGGTGACATCTCAATCAACACCTTCGAAGCCCTCTGCGTTCTCAATGGCAATTATGAGTTTACAACGCAGTTCCTCAAAGGTCGGATAGGGTGGCAGATCGAGGCGATTGAAGCTGTGGAAGTGGGGGAAAAAGAAAGAGATAAGGGTGAGAAAATATCTTTAAAGCAGGAAAAAGTTAGGTGGAGGAAAAAAATAGCAACAGGACTGAGTTTGGCCATTTTTGCGGTAGACTGAACGGTATTTTAAAAAACATGATGATTAGTACGCTGCTAGTAAAACTGCCGAGGAAGGGTAAGCGATCCAATTATTTTTGTGACACTAAAACCGGATTCGTCTGAAATCGGTGTGTGATAGAAAAAATATAAGGTAAACAAAAATGCATCGGGAAGAACTCAGTAAGAAAGAAGAGGCACACATACAGTAAGTAAGTTGATGAAATTTGCCAAAACTCAGGGAAATCAAGCCACATGCGTCTACCAAAACAGCAAATTAAAAATGAATAAAATTAAACTGGATAAAAACAAACAGGAAAACATTTGGATTAAAAAGAAAGGTGAGGTAGGAAATGCGAACGAGAACCCCGCCGTTATGCAAGTGGTCTCACGCAAAATTCGACAGTTATGGTTAACCATGGGGTTGAGCTTTTAGTGAGGCTTAGTGGGGTTTAAACTAGGACACGAGAACAGGTACCTGTCCTGGCATTTAGCCCAAGATCACACCTACAGTACGGTGGGAATTTCTGTTTCCTGGCTTACAAAAATGTCTTATAAACAGAAACTGTGAAAGTACAAATATTTGTGTCAAATATATAAAATAAAGCTAACGGGTACTACAATGTTATCCAATCCTTTTTAAGAAACCCACGAGCTAAATGATTCCCACGAATTTGTGCGATAGGTATCTGGTTTGATGTTTGGTGAAATCTAACAAGATGTCGCTGATTGATTTCGTGGACAGCGAGGTGGTCGGGATATGGAAATTGGAAAGTAACCATGTCATAGGGAATATGTAGTGTATAGAGAGAGGATCTTTCTTTAGTCTAAGCCCTCTATGTGCTTTACAACAACAATGGAGTCAGCTGGGTCTCAATGCCTCTTTGAAATGTCAAACAGGGCAGTTATCGGTACCCTCCGTCGAATTCCTAGGGTGATACATATCCAAGTTTTTATTATCAAGGGTTTCAAAAAAAGACGGATCTTGAAGATTTTACGCGGCAACGAGTTCTCGTACGTTCATTTTTTTGGCCGGTCTGGGTCATATTGCAAATTCACATAAATAGATAAACCTAGAAAGCGACACAACAGACATCAAAAGCTTCTCCGCTGGAGCATTCTGTGGATGAGTGTACCACACTTTCTCTCCCGGCGCGCAGGTAATGCTGGGGTACCCACTGATGAAATATCGAACCTCTCTCAGCCCTGCCATGCAGTGACAGCATATTAGTGAAACACGTGTGTCTGAACTTTTAGTTGGTACCCGTGTTGCCACTATGGTAAATAATTACTGACTGCCTATCGGCAGCTTATAAACATTAAGGGGTTGGCTGATCGACTTCAGTCTTGGCCCGCGGCTGCGGACCCTTGAATATACTGACCACCTCCGACTAAGAAATTAAGTCCTGGGGAAGTTGAAAAAAAAACTACAAATTTATCTTTAACTTCCAAGGAAAAATCAGCGGAACATGGATACATGTTTTCCGCTTGTGCAATTCATTAACAAATACCAGAAAACCTTCTGCTGCTGCAAACGAAGAAACTAACTTGGACACTGAAAAATAGACGCTCCCTCCCCTACTACAGCTGGAACTGTGCTAAATGTCATGGGGTACCTTTAACCCTTACCCTATTCCCGATCCTCTTAACCCTAGCACTGACCGTCGCCTTCGACGCAAGGACACCTGCGGTACAAGGGGTCAAAAACGCCCTTTTCTCCTTATTTTTGGAACCATTTCTTCTATGGTGGCTTAATTTTGGGACAAATCTGGGAACACAAATGCATTACGAGAGCAATAACAGATAGCAAAGTGTTCATCAAAGGACACTTAAACCACATTCAGTCGAATACGCTAGCGCTACCTTCGCCGAGAAATGATGGTTCCTCTCGTGGATACCTTACAAAAAATGTATAAGCCTTTAAGTTGTGGCTAGGGCAGTACAAAAGGCTCCCAGTTGGGGTTACGTTTTATGGATGACGCGGACTGAAAGAATCATTGCTCAACCGCCTTCCCTTGCATAGACGGGTGCCTCACGTTGGTAAAACCAGGTTCGGGAATGTACGTTCAATCTGTTGTGGGTCTTCACATAAGGAATTGTTTGAAAATAACGAAATACTGATCTCCGCTCAAGGACGTGATGTTCAATGAAATTTACCAATAGGTCCTAGTTGGAAGACATAACACGAATAGTTCCATCCTGAAAACAAGACATGAGTCTATTATTGCGGTTTGAGAGCGTTGATCGATGGTCAACTACCTCCATCAATTAATAGCGGGAATGCGCAATCCAGGATCAAGCTACTATTGGCTAATGATGTCAAAAAATGCAGAAAAAAACAATTCTGGTCTCTCATACTATGTTTGCAAGTACCCTTTTCCTTAATGGGCGCATTTAAAAAAAATATTCGCTACGTGAAAGAAAAGGACCCCTTAAGTAACGCTTTCAATTAATAGACAACATGCGCAACATCAGACGGATCCCCGACGGTACAATTGTATTTTGGGGAGGGGAGGAGGCAAAATGATAGGAAGGGGGAGAAAAAGAACTTACCAAGTATGTGCGCGCGGTAGCTGGTCAACTGTGCCCCAACTTTCAATGGTAAATTTTTGCGGTCCGGTGGAGCCCCACAGTTCCACAAATCCATTCATGGGAACGCGCGAAGTTCCGGTCACAAACTGGAGAAGACGGCTGCGTAGCTCGTTGGTAAAAGTGTACAGAGTCTGAAAGCGGAGGGGAAAGGCCAAT